TTAACGTATTGAGCTGTTTACTAGTCAGAAAAAAAAACGCGGTAAAAGTCATAGCCAAAAGGATGAAAAATTTGAATTTCTCGTGGAAACCGAAACCGTTGACCAGTACGAATAGTATACACTGATAGGAACGAATCCCACCACCACCGTGCGCTGGACACGATAAGAAGAATAACAGTATATACAAATGCCTGTTTGGTCGCTAAAATCGATTAACCGTGTAAAATCGAATCGGCAGCATAATCTTGCGGAAAAAAAAGACATTTCAAACCAAACTACTCAGAACACAATATATATATGTATATGCATTTGTACAGTGCAACCTAAATACGCGAGTGGTATTTTGATTTGTTTCATCTTGGCTGAAATGAAATTTTTTTTTTGAATAGCAACGGAATAGTAAATCGAGTAAATATATAGAACATTCAGCAGACCACGAAACGACGGCCGTAGCTTTTTTATATATTATGTACAATTTATATATATGTATCCGTTTTGGCGTTCCTATAACGTACACGCTTTTGTAAACGGGGTACGGGACGTATAGCTATGATATATTATTGTAATACGCATTCGGACTTAAATCATCCGTCTGGCGAGCTCGCCATATTGGGTTAATGCAAATGGTTAAAATCACAAAAACCGTATTATAATGTTACATATAGGTAAGGGGCCCATTTGGAAATTTATGTGTAGTCTGCTAGAATGTAAACGGCATAGCCGGACGGACGATAACACGATTTCCAAGCAATACGACGACTTTGGAATACAAAACAATATAGAATTTACATGCAATGCTCTCGAAGTAGACTATACGTATAATTTGTTTAAAGTTCAAATGTATGCGAGCCAATCTTGTACAATACACTGCAGTGTTGCGGGTAAAACTATTCTACTAACGATAAACCTACAAATTTAATGTATTATTATAATACTCATCAGGTTGATATAATGAATAATACATTAGTTTAAAGCACAGTCAGAAAGTATTATACTTGAGTAGTAGTATAAGTAGTAGTAGTAGTAGTAGTAGTAGTAGTAGTAGTAGTAGTAGTAGTAGTAGTAGTAGTAGTAGGAACTTAGTAAGTAAGTAAAGAAGGTCCAGTGTAAAAAAAAAAAATTGATTAGAAATTGTTGAGAAAGGTACACCGAAGGTAGATCTAGAATGGAACTCATTCTAGATCTACCTTCGGTGTAATAATTTTCAGACCTTGCATGAAAAAGCGAAATAAAGAAAAAGTTTCCACCCCTTCTAGGGTAGAGGGTTTACGGTATTTGTTTGAGTTGTCACCGTTTATCGGTAGTACATAGTCTTAAGAATATTCGACACAAATTTGAAACTAATTTGGGATTATTTTTACATCGAATAGTGTAATTCAACAAACATTTTTTTTCCAATCGAATTTTAATTATCAATGCTTAACTTCTAATAATCAATATCGTTTTTCATTGAATTTGGTTGAGTGTGCGAGCTCGGATTCAAAACTTTTGCCATTTATAGGTTCTTTTAAGTAAAGCCTGGATCGTACGAGGGCGCGTACTCTCTTATTTGTGGCACACGAGTCGTGTATGGTTTATACTAAGCTGCGTGTGCGGTTATCTTAGTCCCGATAATATGATTGATGATCAAACTTGGACTACTGGTATAAAAATAAAAAAAAACACGATTTTCGATTTATTTTCGCCGAAGGACGATCAAAACCGATAAAACTTTCACATATAGGTAGGTAGGTATACCGTGTACAAGAGCAAATGCGGATGCAATCACCGATGGTTATCGCCCGTTGATCATACTATTATTGTACGTGTATGTGTATTATAATATCAAACACAATATACCTACATATATATATATAGTTTCGGCGTGTGTTTATCGTTTTCACTCGAACCCTTTCTCAACAGTTGTTTAATGTCCCATACAGGCTGAATATCGTCGCATCGGTCCGGTGATAAATGTGCTCGCCGGCCGAAAAAAACGATATCATTGTGCATAATAATAGATATACACTAGCGACACTATTACAATATATACGTATATATTTTAAAACACACATATTGAACAATCTGAACAACACCGAAGCCGATCCACTGCGGTAGTGGTCCGACAATCGTGACAGGTACAGAGACGGATGAGAAGGAGATGGCCCCGGCGCCGGTGGTCGTCACTGTCACCAAACCGTCAGGCGTTATATACCTTTAAATAGAGAGATACCGATCCCGGTGCTCTGGACCCACGGCGAACACCCGACCATCTCGCCGCCGCCGTAAAGAGGACCATATCGCTCTATTGTATTGTCATTTTTTTTTTTTCGTGTTATTGTTTAAACACTATATGGGTTACATAGCTATGGTACGAGAAATTAACCGTGTACATTATCGTGCGCCCCCAAACTATCTCAGAACAACTGTAAACATTCTTACTACATCCATGGACTTATGCCATCAGATAATGACGTTTCTCAAGCGTACCGTTATTACATATAAACCCTATTAGTAAATCCTAGACCTCCAAAATTATTTACAGTACCGATTTCAGCAACACACAACATAAGCAGTTATATAAAAAATAAAATAAATCCCACTAATGTTTTCTGATAATTCCTTGAAAAGTAATGTAGAAGTAAAAAAGTTGATTTTAAAATTAACAACAATACTTACAGAATTCAGTGAAGTTAGAATATAAACTACTTATTTTTATTTTATTTTAAATGTCAAAATATCCGTTTGAAAGTGTAGGATTTCCTAAAAATGTTGACGGGTTGATGATAAATTTTGGAATTTAACGTTTTTTAATTGTCAACGAAGGAGGGAGGTGTTGGTCGTTGGAAAATGATAGATATTTAATTGTGCGCATTACCCAATTTCATTTCTCTACCCGGTCATATGTCATCTACACTTTAAAGTTTAATGTTACAGACTAGGCAACCTTTTTAGAAAACCGTTCATTTCAGTACGGCTACTTTGATGTTTTAATTTCTAAATTATAAAAAAAATTGTTTGAAAAAAAACAAATTACGGTTTTATTACTTGGTCAAATAAATATTGCCTTGTAGTCATTAAACAATCGCCTGATAACCGATTCTTCTTCTTGAAGTTCCTATCCGTTTCGGATGTTGGAAACCATATTGAATATTGCTTCTCTTTCTAACGTTGAACGAAATAGTTCAATAATTTTTGTTGTACTAAACCAGTCCCGGAGATTTTTTAACCAAGATATCCTTCGTCTGCCAACACTTTTCTTGCCTTCTATTTTTGCTTGAAGTATAAGTTGCAGCAATCCATTTCTTTGGTTATTTCTCATTATTATGACCAAGGTATTTTAATTTTGTTTTTATAGTCTTTAGTTACTCTTTTTCCTTTTGCATTCTTTGTAGTACATACACGTTGGATACTCGATCTGTCCATGAGATATTTAGGATACGGCGGTACAGCCACATTTCCAATGCCTCAATTTTCTTACTCGATGTTTCAGTTTATGTCCATGTTACGGCACCGTATGATAAAATAGGAAAGATGTAACATCCTAATATTCTAATCTTAGTGCCCAGTAAAAAATCATTTTTACGAATGCACCTCTGGCTATCTCAATCCGGCATTTAACTTCCATCCCATGTTCCCAGTCCTCGTTTACCCATGCACCGAGATAGCTATACTTTTGAACCTTTTCTATTTGCTGTCCCTTAATTAATAGCTTTTCTCTTACATTTTGTTTTTTCGAAATTACCATATTACCGATAACCGATTACCAAATACTATAATGTCGTTATTTTGAGCCACTGATTTTGTTGTCTTTTTTACTTAAAATTAAAAAAAAAAAAAACATTAACTGATAAATAACAATAATAATTATTGTAGTGCGGTCGGCAATAGTCGTTTTAAGGGGCTCGTTGGAAAATAATAACATGTACCTCTACTACTCGTTACCGCGTTGCTTTTTCGTATCGACCCCGTTCGGCGGCGGCATTTTCTTTGGTTATAATATTGTATTATAGAAGACGCACACAATAACAACTATGTGTGTATGTTTATTGTGTACATTGTTGTTTACCTATATATTATTATGTACAATACACACGAGCGCCGCCGCGGCCGCTGAGTTGATCGGTTCCACGCTCTTGAACATCATCTCCGCCACGGCCTCGCGTATATAATATTATATTATATTACTCGGTCATAACAAAAAAATACACACACACACAATAAAAATGGGGTTTCGGATTTTCGGTCGTGATACGCTTACACCTACGTCGGTAGCGTTTACAAACGACTTTTTCATGATGTGTCTTTGGCCGGCCCGACGCTTTTTGCTCTCGCCGTTGTTGTACACAGCATTGACCGCCGCCGTCGTTGTGTGAACACACTCGGCTTGTGTGTAATTAGCGCGTTTTTCACTCGACCGCCATCGCCGCCGACAGGATCATAAGCAGACCGACAGTGTCATTAACACTGTTAGATACACACAAACGCATCTAACCACCGGCAGAACCCATTTTTTTCCATCACGATTTCGTAACCGATTCGGTATGTAATTATTAGTTTCTAATATATTTAACTAGCTCAAATACTGGTAAATTGTTACCGGACAAAAATATAATTATCACCGTTCGAACAGCGTGAATTAGGCAAGACCGGCAGCAGAGTTCGAATCATTGTCGGAGATCCGGACAGGGGGGGTAGAGATTCTAAAAACTTTATTAACTTAAAATTAGTGCCGCCCAATAGATCACTTGCCCCTCATTGTCGTCTTTTGTACAGCCCCGAGTATAACGTTGACAGCAAATGCATTATATTTGAATATTTTTTTATTATTCAAAATCAACATTACAGGGCTATGTATATACGAGACATATGGGAGATTCATAGAAAAATGCACACATAATATTATACAGAAAAAAACAAAAAATCTACTCCGTTTTCTATCGTAGACAGTGTACGAATCGAAAATGTCACGGTTCGACCACAGAATAGATAAAATCTATGTCATCTATGTTATTCTGTGGTTAGACCATCGTGGCGGTACTTAAAAATTCGTTTAATTCTTCGACCGAACACGAGTGATTGTTCGAGTTGGACGCCTTCGCCAACATTTCGGCCACTTGCTCGTCCGTGAACTTAAGACCGCAACTGTAGGCAGCGGCGAGCAAGTGTTGAGCTCGCATTCGACCGTCGTAAGAGCTCCCAATGATGGAGAAAACCCGACACACATCCAAGGGAGTCAGAGTCGCGTCGCAGAGTACTCGTTCGAAAATTGTCAAAAACTGATTGTAAGACACGGCCGAAGTACACGGTTCTACATCGGCAACACCCAAGATGTTGACCATCTCCAAGGCGTCCGGCTCTATGCCCAGACCGCGAAGTGCCACCCTAACGTCGGACGTGCTAACTTCTCCTGTACCGTGCTTGTCCAGAATTTTAAAGGCCGTGCTGACTTCGGCCTTTTGAGCGGCCGTCATCGTAAGTCGAGGTCCGCGCAAACACCGCTTTTGAGATTCCGACAGTTGATACTGTACTTTGTCGGCCATCGCAGTTGTTAAGCATTATACAAACAAAAAAACAAACCACGAGATTCATATGAGATTAACATTAAAACGGACGTCGTCGTCTTGGCGATTTTATTTATAATCTAAATAGTATACACATTATTCCTACATATATAATACAATAAAAGAAATTTGTCTTAAAATCTTTATTATATTATTAAATGATAAAAATCGTACTTTTCAAGTTAAAATATGGTTACAATATATTATATACAATAATAAAAACTAATTTTGATAAAATACTTGAGTATAAACATTAACATTTTTCAACAATGTTGAAGGCTCGGTGATTGGTCCAAACTATAAAACCAACAAAGTATTGTGGAACACAGAATTATAGTTTTAAAAGTTAATCTTCAAAACTATATTTTGTGTTTGAACATTATAAATTATCTTTAACATAGTTAAGATAGTGTACAAAATTATTTTGAGTAAAGCATTTATTTTAAATAAATTGTTTAAATAATTAGGATTTATTTAACAAAACCGATATTTTAGGTGTTCTAAAAAGTCGAAGACTTAACTGGACATATGACATGACACATTGTGTGGTGAGCGGAGGGTAGAATAGTAAACAAGGTCAAACAAACCCAAGATAACAACTAAGACAGCGGTGGAGCGACCGATTAAGAGAAGATCTGAAGCTCCTAGAAATCAGAGATGGAGAAAGGTTAGCGTTGGATAGAGAGGCATAGTGGAAGTGGCGATGGGCCTAAACGGCCTCGAATAAGCCATAGAAAAAAAAACGTTTATTTAATTGAAAAATGTACTGTTTCGTGAAATTCTCAAGAGTCTGTATAATTTGCGTTCAACTACGTAGTACATTTACATAAACAGTTGACCTAGAAAAATACAAACTAGACCCAAATTGTTTATTGTCGGTGCGTCCCCGTTGCTAATAAACTAGATAAATGTACTTTTGCTGTCCCTTTAAGTCAACACGTTATGTGAATTATTATTTATTGATCGTTTTGCTTTGGTGCGAGTGTTAAGTTGAAGACTGTCTTACTTTTCTCGCCTCTTGCTAAATATTTTAATTTCTGGCCAATGTAATTATTATTAGTTGAGCTAAAAAAAAGAAGAATAAGTGAAATACTCATCCTTATAAAGCTTACAGTTTTTCCACCGTCAGGTAATCAATAAAACCAGTAGCGAGGCGTAAGTTTTAATGACGGGTAGTCAATAAAAAAATATCGTACTATTAAAGTTTGCTGTCCACAAAGAAGAACAGAGAAACGTCACGGAAGTTTTTTACACTGAACCAAATTCCCCAATTAACTTTTTATTATCAGATGGCTCCAAGTCCAATACAAGAGAGAGATAAGGAATGGGTGCGTAATAGCACCTTCCCCTCCTTCTTGTTTAAAATGTATTTAAGTTTAATTTACATTTTACACCGTTTACAGAATCAATTCAGACTGCATTTTTTTATCCAAATGAAACATTCTTTTAGTTTCATGATATGCCGTTTTTATGTGCTGTCTCATTTGGAATGCCGCATATCAAATATAGGTATTGCGTTATTTTCGCCTCCTAAACGTTTTATGGTCGCTCAGCAGGTAGTAATTTTTTTTTTGTTTCTGTTTTCTTGTAATAAACGGACGGACTGACGGCGGTCGTTTACGTTCCGCCAAAAGCTTATTAATATCGGTCCGTTAATTGATATTGTGTCATTTTATTTATACTTATATGTACATAATAATGATAATATTATAATATAAAGAAAACCAGTCGTTGGATTTGTCAGTGTGGAATTGTATATAATCGATTCGTCCGTGTAGATGGTAAACCGCTGATATTTTGATGTTGCTGCGGCGGCGCGACAAGTAGTGGTGTACCACGGGGTCGGTCTTATGCAAGAAGAACTAATACTCACTTATATTATACTATTATATATATACAAACACAAAACAACAAACGAGCCTTCACACGGCCTGTCATAACGCCACGCTGTCACATTCTTAAAAATGATACGGCAATGATAGCGCATATATAAATGTATATTATAACATACGAATCGGTCTTTTGATGTGACCGAGTGCATAATATAGTATATTATAATAGTAATGAAATTATAATGAATTACCAGGAGGTAGCGTTAGATAGAGAAGAAATGAAAATAAGTGTGTGATGTAGCAGTGGGACTAAACGGCATTTGAAGTTATTACAGTTATTATAAAAATGCTTATTGTGAGTTAATACGATGTTAAGAAAATCCACTCAAAGTATTACCTTTAATCGACAAGTAGAAAACCCAATAAAATAGTATTAGATTTTTTTTTTTTTAATTCAAGAAGATATCAATTGCGTATTTTAAACAACAATGAAAGAGAGATTATATGAAAAATTGCCAAGAAGGTTACTCTGACTAATACTTTTATGAAATACCAGCATGAGTTGATATGGATTGGCTTAGATTTGGTTTAGTATTTTTAAATATAAAAAAAAAAATTGGGCATGACCTTAGCTTGGATAATGCTACAAATTTGTTTAAAAAATGATTATTATCAAAAAGTTTTAAATTGAATATTTCAAAACTCATGAATATGCAATAAACCACACATGGCAACTTGAAAACTGACTACGGTCAACATTTTCCCTATTTTTTAAATTTTCCTTAGTAAAAAAAGTTAAGAAACTCCTCCATACTCCTCCATAAACCCCCAATGATCATATTCCTTATTCCACTCCATATTTCTCCATTATTCTCCATTATTCTCCTCCATATACGTGTGAGAATGTGAGTGTGTGTGTAAGTTATTTACAAATTCTGAAACCAGATTTACAATTATTTACAATTAATTTACAACATTTTGACACTAATTTGGAATTGATACGATAATGTAAAGGGGCCAACTTCATGTACATTGAGTTGACGCGTTATTCGTACTTTGGGGCTTACAAAAATAATACACTTATAGGTTGTTGTACAAGGCGAAAGATCAATTAATATAAGTGATTTTTTTTTCTTTGAAAAAACATTAGAATTATTTGAAAAAACTAATCATACACAAGTGTACAAACAACCAATTTCTAAGAAATTATATGTTATTACATTACTTATACTTTGTGTTATCGACATTATTTTTGTGCATGTGAAACGAAACCCATAATGATTAAAAAGCTTCTTCGGAGCAAAGCTTCTTTTTATTTCAATAAAATTATCAAAAGTCGTCGTGGTTACAATATATTCTTGCAGTATTCGCAGTGTTTCAAACATAAGTATACTTCTCTTTATTGAAAGTAGTTTTATTCCACTCGGAGCTTTAAATATGACAGTTTATAAAAAAACTGTACTTGCTCAACCAATTAACATACCGAATGTACTTTGCCAATGTTACACAAAAAACGCTTAGGTTATACACGTAGGTCTCTAAATATTATTATGGACTCGTTAGAGCTTTAATAAACTTTTATGTACCCTGATAAACAATATAGCAGACATAATATTTTATGTGTGGTCGTCTCAAATCTTTTGCCATTTTCATAGTTTCCATATTAAGTTACATATTATGTAAAAAATGTTTGTATCAAAATTAATAACAATTATATACTAAATTTATCTCGAGAATGCTACTAGTTTCCAAGTATTATTTTCCCCTCGATTTATCTGTCAAAAAAGTAATTATTTGTGTGTGGTCACGTTTAGGGCTACAAATAAGGGTTTTTGGGGGTCGCAAAGCGCCGGCTGACCGTGTCCGTCATTCTCAACGTGTGTATGCATTTTTTTTTTTTTTATGATTTCAGAGGCTCGCTTGTCTGTTTGTTATTAGTATTCTTTTTATTATTCCCATCAACGTGAAAACATAACCGCACGATTTCTCTGCGGGACGCATCCATATACCGGTAGCCTGCACGGTTCGTTTACCTGAGTGCACAGCAGTAGACTTGTCACTACACTGCTTACAATACGACCTGCCTCGAGTGTATTTTATATATTATTATGATTATTGCCATCATATTTATAATTTTTTTAAACAATAAATACTAAACAGACACGGCGTTAAAGCGATCACTATCCAAATTATGCGGTAGTAATTTACATTTAAATTGGTTTCCGCCTGATTCGTGGACGCCAGTGGATAACGTTATGAAGTCGAGGACGGATTGTTATTAATTATGAAAAAAAAACGTACCTAGGTATACAAAATAAGGAACAACTTAAATCAGTAGGATTCGTACAATTGTTGTGTACATTATTAATGGTAATAATATTATATTACATTTAATCTCTTTGCACCATTAGGAACTACGTTGTTTTAATCTTAAGCAGTTCGCCATTTAGCAATAATTTTTTTTTTATAAGAGCACGGCTCTACTTTTTCAACTCGTCTATAAAAAATAGGTTTATATTATTACAGAAATATTGAAAAAATACCGCAAACGTATTTTGCATAATATTATCATAAGCCGGAGAACTCGTGAGATTGTATATTTTGTATAATCACTTAGAATGTATACACTTATAAATTATTAAATAGTTTGATAATAATATGTTCGGATTAAATTACGTTTGCATAATTACTATTTGTATAAATATCAAGGACAACTACATGTACGCAAAAAGGAAATATTGTCAAAGAATATACACATATATGGCACAAACCTTAATCGCTGTAAAATAAGTAATAAGTAATTTTAAAAAAAGCGAGTTCAAAGTCCAATGAATTTTATTTATTTTTTATAGAAGAATACATAATAATGCAAGTGAAATGTACCGAAACTCGATATGATCCTTTTTTGTCTTGCAGTTATTAGAATGTAATGTCTACATTCCATTTTAGCTAATGGATGAACTCTAGTAACGTCTTTTAGTGGATAAATTTGGCGGGAAAAAGCCAGCCAATGTCGCTTCGTGTTGCTGCATAATGATTTTTTGTGTATTTTTGATCTCTGCCATTCTGTTATCAACATAAATATTTCGAATAAATAATAATGATGGGACAGAAAATAACATATTATAGGCGTAGTCAGACATTTTGGGCAAGTATAAGTGCTATTTCAAAAAAAGAACGTAGAGACACGGCTTGAGGAGCTCATATGACCAGTTCACCCCTTCCCTCTTCAGTCGTGTTGGTCAATAATTGAATAGGTCATTTCGAAAACGACATAATTCATACAACTGATTTTTTACGCTAACCATAAATAACTTAATTACTACAGAAATTCAAATTATTTTGAACTTACATCTTTTTATACATATTTTATTTTTAGGAGCTGTGGTATTCGTAATGCATATTTTTAAATATTCTACCTTTGATCATATTTATCTAAAACAGAATAATTGACTTTGGTTTTTTTACAAAGAATAGCAATTTATTGTATAAATGTAAATTTTATTATTTTTATCTGCGCGCACTTCCCAACCCCACTTCCTCTCCCATCCTAACTTTTAAACTCTTTTTACAACTACAAATAGTTTTTCAAAACTGGTTAATAACTGCAGTCAACATTTTTGGTTCATTATTCTCAATTTAAAAAGTTAATAAAATGTATGCGTTACCATTTAAGTTTCAAAAGTTTTTATTAAAACACTAAGTTGGAAGGGGGGTAAAAACAAAAACAATATGAAAAATTAAAATTAAATTACTTATTAAACCCTATGAGATATTGAGTGGTAAACGATAAAACGATCACCTTGTATAAGAATGAAAATTGATAAAAAAAATTTTTTTGTAAAAACGATGACTTATGTCGTTTTTAAGATTCAATTATAATCTAAAAAAACGTCGTTCGTCTAAATCTGTTCAGTAAAAATAAAAGTTTGAGTTCAATTGGCCAACCTTGGTAGTAGACATGGACGATGGACGGTGAATCATAATAATTGTGGTTAATGGTTATTAACATAGGTGTTATCCTATAAGTTTTGGCCAACTATAATTAATAAATGATACCTAAAGACAAAAGGCATATATCATTCAACATTTTTAATATGCCTACGTCTATGCTATGTTTGTATAAATTAAACAATACGAATTTACAATACCTTTTTGCTTCCAACTCGGCAGCTTCTCTAGCTTCGTTTTTCATTTTTTCCCACGCCTCTTTCTTTGCTTTTTCTTTTTCGTTTACTAACCGTTTCAACTCTTTGCCATACTCGGTATTTGCTTTCTGCTTGTCGTCGTGTTTCACTTCTTCCACCTTATTGTCTTCTCGGTACAACTGCAAAAACTAAAAACAACACGTTAAGACTTTTATTAATGTCACACGACCAACAGCTGTTACTTTTATAATATTATGTTATATACTTTTTCCGCTTCTTCCAGGTCTTTTTTTTTCTGTTCTTGTTTTTCCCCTTCTTTCAACATTAACTGCGCATCGTTTTGCTTTATTAATTCGTACCGGCGAACGTTCCTGATGTGTTCATCCTCTTTTACCTTGAGCCAATCGTTGACCCTCTGCTGTTCTTCTTCTAAAATCAATTTCATGTCTAGTTTTTCCGATTTATCCGACTATAAGCCAAATTTACAGAGTATATTAATATACACTTGACGACTATCTATCTCGTTAACCATAGCACACTCATACCATCAACGATATCAGGTTGTTGACCAGATATTCGTAGACTTTGTCGTATTCGTCTTGTTTTCTTTTTTTAGCGTCGTCCAACTCTTTTGTTTCGCGTTTCTTGTGTTCCAAGAAATCCGACACGTACCTGCAAAAAGATAAGTCAACTTCACATAATTTTCCGCATAATTTATAACGTTCTCGTACTAGCATTACTTTTCCACCAAATCCGCCTGTTTTTGTTCTGCCTGTTTGGTCTCTATTTTCATGCGGACGCATTCGTTCATGTCTTGTTTAAGTCTATTCATTTTCATTAGTTTGTCTTTTGAATCATTTTTTTCCAGCGGCCAACAGTCCATTGGACAATACGGTTGTGGATTTTTTCTGTCAATCGCTTCTCCCCACTGTTTAACAATCGCTTTTTTGTACCTTGCTCGTTGTTCGAGTCGTTTTTCTCGAGATTTCTCGTCGGCGAGCTTTTCTTTTTCGTTGGCCTCTATCATTTTCAAATCGTCATAGTAGTCTCGGACTTTGGCTTCTTTTTTAGCCGCTTCTTTTTCTTTGATTTGCGCCATAATCTCTTTTTTCGCGTACGCAGTCCTTAGTTGTTTTTCCATGTGACGAAGTTCATGGCAATTTTCTTGAGCCCATTGCCTACGTGGAAAAAAAACAACATACATTACCGTTAAGTAGTAAAACCTTTGATCCCTTACTACACACCTATCGACGTTATAATTCATCAACTAAAATATTAGTTAAAATTATAATGTAATTACTCGGTTTTCTTTTGTACTATTTCCCTGCGCTTCAAATCAGCCATGGTCTCAGCTAATTTCTGTTCTTGATCCAGTTCGGCGAGTCGTCTAGACTGTTCTTCCTTAGCCTATATAATGACGCGAATATTAAATGTTAATTTTTGTATTCAACGCTTATTAAAATACAAATTTAATGCAACATTACAATGCCGGGTTGCACAACAAATGTATTGATTTAACGCATTTACATGAAATCGAACCTTTGTCGGTCAGGTCTAACCCGCGCAACCGGACCTCAGTAACGTTGGCGCATTACTGATTTATTATTATTGCACCCACATCAAGTCGGTAATGCGCCAACGTTTGTTGCCATTGCCAGCTATACCTTGCCTTGTTTATGTTGGCTTCGATTTCTGCTTCTGCTGCTTCCATGTGCATTCGCTTGAACAACGAAACCCTGGCCGCCCTCCGGCGCATGTTGCACATTTCTTTACACCGCGTGTCATATTTCCTCTGTTCGGCTATTTGTTTTTGCACCTGAATGATTTGCAACTCGGATTTCTGCGCTTTACTCATTTTTTTTTTTTATTAATATGTCACTTGCAAATTGTTGACATTATTGTACGTTTTTCGATGGCAACCGTTACCGAGTAACCGCGATCGGGATAATCAGGGGAAAATTCGTTATTATACAAATATACAATATATATATAAATCACGTGTATTTATTTTCAAAATTGGGTTTCCCGTAAAGTGTCACAAGGTACTTTCAAATTGTTTACGAGTTTTGGATAGTAAGACATGTCCAAAGCGTGGCTGACGACGGTTTTGGATTTTTTCGTTTTTCGCATGTACTGCACCTTGGGCGATCGGTGTCGCATCTCTGAAACTACTTTGTCGATGACGACGCCCAACACGTAAATGTTTTCTTCGTACGAACCGTTGACGGAAAACATGATTTTCGTCATTTTCCTGACAATGCCGCCGAACAACGAATGGGTCATCGGCCCGCCTTGTTCAAACTTGACGGGCGAACTGGTGGTCCCCGCGAGGTCGGCGGCAAGTCGCTTATAGACAATGCTAAATAGCTTGTCGATAGCCACTCTAGAATGCTAAACAAAAACAACAAAAAATATTGTACAATTTTACTACATAACGGGAAGGTTCACCCTAGTTTACAGAAAGTAGTTTCTTACTTATAATTAGTTTCTTACTAATTATTTAAATTAGAATTGTTGGTTTACTTGGAGAGGAAATCACGCCTTTTTCAACGTGTTAAACAGAGTTATTGAATTTACCAGGATGGGTAGTCAGTGACCATTATGCCTTACGCCTGCAATGTACCCTCCCGGTGTTCTACTTACGTTGTTTATATGTTCTATCCCGTCAAACGAGTAAACTGCTGGTGGTTCGTCTTTGTTTTCGTTTCCGGTATTCGGCAAAGGACATATTTTCTTATTTTTGTTCAGTTGCTCTGCAAACTGCATCATCTTCGTGCGACCGTTGCTCCACGCGTCTGATGCACTGTCGTCCGGTAAGTCCAAGTATCCGAATTTCTCATCGTTCGTCATGAAGTCCAGAACGATAGGTTCCACTTGTTGTTCGGTTTTTTTCGCTACCAGCAGCTCGGTCGGTATCAAATTGATTTTGTTCAAATGCTGCAGCCTTTCCACCATTCGCGTTGCCTTTCTCAGCAGTAGGTCTACGCGAATTTATTAATCGTATCTGGTGCCGGCCCGATTGTTTTCTTACTTACTACTCAACCGCTTTTTCCCGTACTCAAACACGGCTCGGCCGCACAAGCCGTCTAGCACGTAGATAACGTTACTTTTGACGTCGATTTCATACTCTAAGACTACATTAGTCATTGCGATAATCTCACCCGCCGTACTGTGTCTGTCGAGCATGTTTTTCGCTTTTTTTACCGCCTCGATAATTTCTTCGTCCGTAAGTTCATAATTCAAACCTGAAATAACATTAATGGTGAAAAAAAGATTCAAGTATATTGAACAAAATAATGGCCCATGTCGAGTCGGTTAGAGTCACCCGTGGAGTTCATTGCGAGTTAAACGTAACTTTTGAAATGCAGTGTAAAAGATAACGCTTTATTGTAAAATATATGTCAAAAATAAAAATATAGATCACTCACGGTTAATAATAATAATAATTTAGGCGTAGTTATAATAGGACTCTCTAGAGGACTCGGAAAGTTCAGACCGTTCAAAACCCTTGAAGTCCACGCAGAACTTAAGCATAAAAATTCCTTACTTAAGTTTTAAAGAAACGGCACATTCCTAGCATTTCTCTAGTTATGAGCCTCTGGCCTTTATTCAATCCTCTAGCTAGTGCTTATTGATACGTCTTGAAATATCGAATGGTTCTAAGCTAGACCGGGTCTAGTTATTCTATTACTAATATTTTTACCACGCTCATTTTGCCCTATATAAAATATATAAGTAATAAATGGGTAAACCAATAACGAGGAGTATTTGTTTTATGCTAAACACAGTTAGAGTATATGGCCTGTTAACCGCCTCAACTAGATCCCAGAGATTTTACCGCACTAATTGTTTTCAATAAACCAACCATTTATTAGATCGCCTAAAAACGACAATTTCCTTAGGGAACGCGAATGTTTGTTTTTCACGTCTCCGATGGCGATTTGATCGTAGTAATTTTTGTACGCCTCCGGCATAGAACTACTACCGGTCGGGCTGTCGATCATTTCTCTCAGTATCTCTGACTTGCGGTATACACAGTTTGTGAGCGAGTCCCACAGGGGTTCGGTTTTCTCCAAAAAGTATCTACCGGCTTCGCAGCTGTGAAAGTTTTTTTTTATCATCGTTATCCGATCTAGGTACACGTGGAAAGGAGCAAAGCTCTCGCGTTGGTACAATCTTTCTATTGTCTGCAACGAAGGGGCACAATATTATGTGTAAGCAATAATACATAATATATTATTTTGTTTATAGTTTTTCAGTTGATTTTACCGATTGTTTGGTATCGACCACACAATCTTCATCGACCACTTCCACGTCGACCGTTTCGTCGAGTTGGCTTTGGCCGTCTATTCTTTGTGACTTATCGCCGTGACCGATGTTGTCATCCTTTGACGTACTAGCCTTAGCTATACACTGTTCGGTTATTAACTGTTGTTTGCCCATTTCGATTAGTTGGGTTTCCACCTTTTTGTTGTAACGTTCGACGTCGTTTTTTTGCCTAACGTATCGCCGAGTCTGTTCCTTTGCCTTGTGAAACGCCTTCATCCGTATGTCTTTGTCTTTGATTGTCTTGGCCAGTTTGATCTGTCTAATCAACTCTGCGTTTCTCGCTTTTTCTACCTTTTCCTGTGCAGCTTCTTGTTTCTGACGGTTTTTCTCGAATCTCTCGTTGTTGAATTTTGTTTTCAGTCGTTTCAACTCTTTGGCTCTTTTGGCCTCCAACGACTTTCGGCATTTGGACAAGTCTTCGACGTCTTGGGGTTTTCCGTTTTTCACTTGTAACACCGTTTGATCGCCGACGCTCACGTGGTGCTGATGATTCCTTAGCTCCGTCAAAACTTCCTCCATAGTTTTAAAATCGATAAGATTTTTAGTCATTTATTAGCTATTTGTTTGTATACACAAATTACAAAATTAATCTCAAAAAACTCACCGACAGTATACACTATACTAATCAAAAATATTTATTTTATAACATTTGTAAAGCATTTTTAGTCGTTGTTAAGGTAAATTTGGGTTTTATACTTATTAATATAATAGTTTATATCTTAATTTTAATTTTATAAATTATATTATTCATATTTATAAACGTTCTATGCAGTTTCAAACTAGTTCTGGCATAATTTCCCGTTTAGTTAAATGATTTTCGATCCAGCGCTTACGTTTAAGTACATTAAATAATATTTCCAACAGAAATATAATTATAGTATAGTTCTATAATAATACCTACTTATCATTACTTAATCATTTTTTAATGAGATTCTAGAATTGATGTCGTCCACAAATGTCAAAATAAGCAAAAAATTAGAAGCCGATTAAAAACTAAAATTTAAATTGATACTGATTGATGAAAGTTGTACTTCATCCGCTTTCAACCCCTCAGTTTATCCCTCTTTAAAATGTATTCTATGAAGGGACATAGTGTAGCGCAGTTGACACAACTAACTAGATTTAAGTGTTGAATTCTAATCTATAATGATGTAATAATGATATTAATTATGATTTCATTATGTATTTACATTATGTATTTCGAGTCTTACATGTACTAAATTACTTATTTTGTTTTGTTTAAATCCAAACAAAATGTATTCATTGACATAATATTATTTTTTAACTTAGATTTTATTGAAGCAAGACACGTTTTCGATAAAAATAATTGACAAAGTTTTACAATCTACCTATCGAGGCACGGGTTTTTTGGATGATTATTTTGCTTAAATTGCTTTTTCGATTACACGCTAGAGTCGTAAAATGAAGAATTTATTTCGCGGCCTAACTGAGTATAATCAACATTTTTTGTAAGACTAAAGAATTTTGATAGAAACAATCATCTGGCGTGCATTGTAAAAAGCAAGTGTTCAACTATACGCTTTATCTGTTTCTTATTGTTACTATAGGTAACCTGAGGCTACCTACAGAGAACTTACAACAAAACTGTGGGTTCTATAATTCAGTTTTTAATAATTGATTTTATCGACAAGTGCCAACGCTAATTTCGTGTAATTGCACTATTACGCTAAAACAAATTGCTCACAAGTAGTGCATCTCAGTCGGTCTCAAACTTGCTTATCTTTGCAACGGGGAGGCGTGATTCTTACTCTAGAAAATACAATATTTAATAAACGACAAAAGGTTTATATTCAATACAAGCTCGGTGTACACTCAGCGTTTCCACTTTTTATGTGGTAACAGCACATATTAGAAAAAAAAAACTGTTTCAAAAAAGTTTGTAAAAAACGTTACGATGTCGTAGTTGTTATGTATTGCAAATAAAAAAATATTGAAATATTTTTACAAAGATTTAAAAAACCTTTTTCCCAAACCGTTTTCCCGTGTAAAATATATACTATTAAGCTTGTTAAGCTTTAAAAACTATACCACAGTAATATAGCTGTTATAGATTTTCAATAAATATAGTGCTAAATTTCCCGGTTAAATGCATTCACTTACCGGTTGAACCTACAGCAGCTATCGACGTTTAATTTATATTAATCGAAAACGTTATCATTGCGCATCTTTAGAAACACAGTCGGTGGTTAATATTATTCCGTTTTAATATTGTATCATCATCATAATATAAAAAGTCGTTACGGTTGGCGGATCGCCGTTTGCTTGTATATATATACAGTTGTGTGACCGTTTTGTGTGTGTGTGTATAGACATATTATACTGCTGTATATAATAAAACATCAACAATTGTCAGCCAGTAGAATATAATATACACACGGTTAACTGGCTGCACACAATGGTCGGCCAATAATATAATCATAGCAAAGGACCGAAAATATCGGCTACCGCGCTTACATGATGAAGCGATGACGGCCCGGACCACCCGCTCGTTCCACCTAACCTGACCATTGTGCCCAGGCCGCAGACTCATATTTGATAAATAATTTTCCCTTATTTTCCCTCTTCGATACAATATCTGCCATCCCTTTTTATATTATATATTGTCCCTTATTTTTATTTTTATTCTATACGCATTTGGACCTCGCAGACTACCCGTTGCTCGGTGGCGTCTTGGATTTTTTCTTCATATTATTATTTTCTCAACACACAAAATGTTTTTGTCCTTTTTTCAATTAAAAAAAAAAATCTATATCGCTCGTGACTTCTGTGTATCGTTCGTACGCGCATTCAGCATTCCATTCATACACAGTGATACACACATAAGCGCGCCTCGAGTACCTGGATAAAAGGATACGCACAGTAGTCTGTTGAAGGATAAAAATGAAGGATATAATACCTATATTATTGTTATTATTGTATATGTATAGATAATACCGCCGTTGTCGCCACTATTTTATCCGCGGTTAAAGATTAACATGTTTGTATCTTCGTATAGTTTGAACAAAGCTAGGGAAACAATACATTTTTTAAACTTCTTCTACTTAAAGTTTAAAAAAACCGTCTCAGTTGATGTTTTAATAAAGTTTTCATGTTAAATAGTTAATATACTCCTTAGTAAAGTGCAAAATTTATTTTTGCAAGAACACAATGATTTTTTCGTAGAATGAGACTTTTTGCTATCTGTGTATGTTTTAAATTTTAAAAAGGGATGTCGAAGAAACTAAATAAACGACACTGTCATGAACACGTTGAAAACATAATTTTTCTCCTTTTAAACTGAATAAAAATCACTCAATCGAGGAGTTTGATTTTCATCGCTTCAATAAGATTGGTTCTGATACTGATTTTACCCATTTTTAGGGTTCTGGTTCCAACACTAGTAGAAAGATAAAATAATTGTTGGAAATTGAGTTTTAACAGTCTTGTATTATCCTGTTGAAGTGTTAACAATGTCAAAAATAATTTTAAAAATATTTGAATAAGGTAAACAGTACATTAAATAGCCTGTGATGTTTTTAATTTTTAAATGCTTCTTTACATCAATATGCGGACTCTTCAATTAAAAATACAATAATATTGTATTTTTAAAATTACTTATATACTTCTTATGCAAAATTATGCGTTAAGATTATTTAATGTTCTGAAATAATTAAACACAATAATTCAATACTTAATTGTGTGGACATTTAGAAAAAGCACTTAACCATCTTTTTCTCTATAGTTACCAAATGGTATTTTTCTTGGTTCTAATTGTGTAAAATATTCATTCGTTTTTTAGCGGCACAGGAAATGGAACGGTCAAAAGATATTGAAGCCCGCGCAAAGTTTGTTAAAACTAAAGGTAATTTGGTAAAATGGTGATCTAGTAATACAAATCACAAATGTGCGGAAATAAACCAGGTATTGGTTTTACAATTAATACCATGAGGCTGTTGCATGGGAATTCAAGTAATGTCTACGAATAGTCGAACATTTTTGAAGTGTTTAACTAGGTATAATAAAGTATAAAAAACGTAAATTTTTTTAATATTATTGTGTGAAACAAAATAAAGACTACTGACTGGTATAGTGTAGCGCCATCTGTCGGCTCATTATAAATAATAAATGAGGATTCAAAACAAAAACTAGAGCGCGCTAGTGTAGTCTCACAAAACTGGATCTTGTAATATTATACAATCATAATATATTTTATAGTATCTACAAATATATTTCTCTGGCCAAAGTGTTGTTTGTTATCAATTTGAAATTCTAAAATCCCTAAATAATTATCTCAAGGAACAAACCATTTTTTTTATCCAGTATAAAAATATAATAATATTCAAGCATTAAAATAACAACTCGTAAATTATTATCTTGTATTTATTTGGTTATGGAACATTAAAAATAATTAATAATTATAGAACAATAGACCAGTATCTAGAAAAAACTTAAGCAACGCTTGTGGTAGTATACTATAAAATAATTATAACCACACATATGTGTAACCACACATTTTGTGGTTAAAGGTTCGTTTAATTATTTTATAATAGATCAATAATTCTCTAAATCATGTGCATGGCGCATATATTGTGATTAAATTAGTTAGAAGTCTGGTTCTGACATCAGACGTCATGTAATACTGTGCAACTATTTTTTAGTTCGTTAATGTGCTTCG